GCAAATTAATTTTACCTCCTGTGTTAAGTTTAATTAAGTTTACAACTTATTTCCCTCTATTGTAGATCACAAATGTAGAAGGAAACTTGGGTACCTATTCCATTCAGTGGTTGCTGGAGTGTCTCTCTCCTGGTTTACTTCCTTCTTCACCTCCTTCAAAATTATGCACAAAGAAAATGGAAGTAGCTAGAATTCAGGAGTTCCATAGAGACAATATGAATTAAAATTAAAGCAAAGCATGATGAAAAAAGCTGACATCAATGAGCTGCACTTGACATGATATGCTGCTGACATCTTTGAAGGATAAATTCGGAGTCCTCTGTCACAGTAGGTAGTAAGCTCTGTGACACCACATTGTGATTTAAGTAATTGGATTAAAAATTATAAAATGTTTTTTGTGAGAACCACCAAAATGCAGCGGTATACCATTTCTCTGTATTGTTTGTTTGAAAGCTAAATCATAAGTGTAAGTGAAGGCATAATACAATTTGACGACAACCACACAAACACAAATACGAATCAAGAGAGATCCAGATGGGAAATGAATGGACTGAATCTGGAGGTCCTCAAAGATCCGAGATGAGGGAAAATGAACATGCACGAATCGGGACGTGGCACACTGCATGACCAAGCCGGCGTTAAGCTATGCCGGGAGATGGCGGCGGGGTCGTGGACTGTTGGGGAGAAGCAGTGTGTCGTCCTCTCTGCTCTTCTAGTAGTAATGATGGTGTGGCTCGCGCACACGGATCTCTAGTCGAGAAAAAAGGACACCTCCAAGCTGCCGCCGTGCTTTCTGGACTCTGGCTGGCGGCGAGGCGCCAAAGACAAATACTTAGAGGATCCTCCTCACAGATGTGGCCACCTCATCTGGATCCGCGACCTTCAACCCGCCGGGACCTCGCCGCTTCACTCGTTCCCGTGTCAAGTGTGCCATTACCATCGCCCACCTCCTTCTCCATGGACGACGAGCATCTTTGGTGGATAGAAGTTGTGGCCGTGGATGACGGGTTCGAGATCTGGGGTTGGTGGACGGTGATGGCGGAGCTGCGATCTTTGAGCGCTTGGCGGTACCTCTTCTGCAACGGGTGGAGCGGAGAGGGGCAGGTGGGACGGCGAGGGCGATGGCTGGCAGCGGCGTGAGGCCGAAGGCGAGGGCTCACGAGGTCGAGGGCTTGGGCGAGGGCGAGGGCGGTGGAGGGAGCGAGGCTTCAGCAGCAGGCAGACGCGCGATCATAGGCTTGGGCGGACCCACCTGCGCCGTGGGATTGCAGGCTTGGGAGGAGGTCCCACTTGCTGCGCGCGAGGATCTCACGCAGGCAAGGCACCGACCACGACGGGATCGCAGGAGGTAGGACGATAGACCCATGTTGGAATGTCGCACCAAAAAGTGTCAACACTTTGTTCTTTTTAGTTGTAGGTCCATGATTTCTATAAGTATGTGAGGCCAAACGATGCTTCTGAAGAGCTCAAGACCGAATGGTCTGCATGTGGAATGTTAAATCATGGATTATTCCTATAAATATTTGTCCAATAAATATGTATGCGCTCATGCTATTTTTTTACCTGTAATAAAAGACCTCCCCCTCCCTCTGAGCTTTAGAATCTAAGCGGTTGTGCAAGTCCAGGTGATTTCTCGGCCTCTCCTGCATTAGAGCATTCAGGAACACAAAAAAATTGATCAAATGGTGCCAACACCAAGAAAGTAATAAAATAATATGCTGCGAAGATTATGGAATAATGATATGCTGCAAAGAATATGAAATAATTGCTTTGTTAAATGTAAAAAAAAATAATTTTCATATCTGAGAAAGGTAATAAAAGTACTATTTAATAGAAATTAAACCGTAGTCAGCATTGTGAAGAATGGTTGGAAACTCGGAACCACTAAATTAAAGAAAGAAGTTATTGGTTCACTTACACTCGAAATTCCAAACACTCGATATTCCAATCTCTAGCTGCCTGCAAAGAAGATAAAGAGACACATCAGAATGTATAGAGTGTGCGTCGCAAATTGCTTGAATAAAATGCAGCATATGAACACAAATCACATTTGCTGACACAGGTCACTACCTCTTTGTGCCTATGTACTGTCAGACTGAGAAGAAGGAGACGCAAACCTCAACCCTGGGGAGGACCAGGCTTGGGCAGAGATGAAGATGAGGGAAGTGCCTTCACCTGGTACCGGTCGTGCCCCAACCTTGCATCTCCTTGGCGACCTTCCTTGAGCAGGTGCTTCATCTCGTCGACCTCCAACAGCTGTGCACACGAGGGGTCAGTACCGCACCTAGGGTTTGGGCGACGAAGAAGCGCCGGAGGGCAACGGGAGGTGGGCGGGACCCTAGCAGCGGCGTCGCCGACGTCCACGCCATCGCCATCCACGAGGATCTCCGATCAGGGGCGGCGGTGGCGTTGGGCTACGGCCCAGAGGTGAGTCGTGGAGGAGGAGAAGGACATGGAGTGGCGAAATCAGCGAACGGGGGTCGCTGGCGGCGGCGGCGGAGAAGACCCATGAATCGAGTAGGATCGCGGGCACCGACGGAGAAGGCAGGAATCGGGCGGAGGCGTCGACGGACGCGAGCGGAGGGCACGAGGCGAGCGGCGACGCGGATCTCACGCGTGGGCAGACTGACGACGCGGGATCGCAGGAGGCAGGAGGATGGACCCACGTTGGAATGTCGCACCAAAAAGTGTTCACGCTTTGTTCTTTTTAGTCGTAGGAGATTCTACTGTTTGATGAGTACACATATGTTATTATAGCTCAGTAGCCCGCGCAACTACGCGAGGGTTTCAGGAAGAGTTGCTAAACCATATATATTGCACATTTCTTAAACGTTGGCTGTTTCCATGTATTTAAAGGCTACTATCTGTGAAAGTTTTCATATATATTGCACATTTCTTAACGTTGGTTGTTTCCATGTATTTAAAGATGTAGGCTACTTGAATATGTGAAAGTCGATCTCACATATTTTCTTTTCATAGTTATCAAGTCATTGTTTGTTCCCATTGCAACGCATGGAAAGGTCTATACAGTAGAGTTGGTGAGCCTGTGACGATGCGCTCTCCGTGACCGTGTTAATTTCACGAACTTTGATTTTTAGATTAAGGGACAATTGTCTGGCGGACATCCAAAGTGATGGTTCGGACACCCACTTTGGAGCATTTTACCAGAAGACGCTCTGGTTTGGTGAAATGAGGCCACAGGACACCATGGACCGGTTGCAGCCGGTTGAGGAAAGAGAACAGCGGTAAAAAGACATTCTTGCCCCTGTCGCTTTCTTCTTCCTCTCTCCCTTTCCCTTTTTTTGTTTCCTGTCCCCGCCACCCTCTCCGCCTCCTGCACCCGCCCCCTTTCTTCTTCCCCGGCTCTTTCTATTCTTTCTCGCCGGCGCCTCCTGGGTCTGCCTCCGGCCCGGCTCCCCCGCGCTTCGCCGCGCTGCCGGCGGCCTCGGTCTGTAGCCGCCCGCGTCCGCCCGCAGGTCATGCGTAGGTCTGCAGTTGCCCCCGCCGGTCTGCAGGTCGCCCGCGTCCGCAGCGGCAGGTCGTGTTCGTCTGCGCGTAGGTCGCGTGTCTGCTCGCACGCCCGCAGGTCATCGCCGTACTCAGGCCAAGCCCCGCCATGGCCGCGAGCTTGGAGCTCGCCGGTGCCTGGCCTGTGAGCAGCAGCAGTGCACGCAGCAATGGAGACGCGGCGCTGAAGGTAGGCCTGGAGGCACAGCTTGGTAGTCGCGACCGTGCCAAAGTCGGCCCGCGGTGGCCCCGCCACGAGTCGGTAGCCATGGAAGATCCGAGCCGGGGCGTGCGGGCGGGGCTGTGCGCACACGGCAGCGACCAAGGCGCAAGCACGCTTCAGCTGTGCATGGGGCCGCAGGTCGCGGCGGCTGTGGGGCATGAGGAGGCTGCGGCGGCGCGTGAGGCAGCAGGGCGCACTGGCAGCGGGCCATGATGGCACGGGCGATGGGAGCTCGGCAATGGTGGTCCTGGCACTGTGAGGGAAGAGGGGGCGGCGCTAGCACGACAAGTGGGGAGGAGAGCTCAACCAATGGAAGAAGAGAAGAGGAGAGGATGAAGAAGAAGATGACAGATGGAGGCCCGCGCGTAAGTGAGAGGGAGAGGGGCGGACCCAACTGTGGCTTAGGGGCACCGGATGTCCAAAACGAAATTTTCTATCTCCTCAACTGGTCCGCAGTGTCCTGTGGCCTAATTTGACCAAACCAGAGTATCTTCTAGCAAACTGTTCAAAACGGAGTGCCCATCAACAAACGACCATCACTTTGGATGTCCAACAGACAATTATCCCTTAGATTAAATATCACTTTAACATCAGCATTTAATTTCATAGTATTCTTATCTTATCGTGCGATTTGTGCGTTTTTTTATAAAAGTTTAGTTATCTCGTGGTAGAAGTGAAAAAAAAAGGTGAGTCGAGGGAGCCAGCCCATCACGAGCTTTTTTATCCAGGACTACGACTACGAGACACCCAAATTAAAGACACGGATCCTTGATAGTTTGATACCTCCGTTACTCCCTCGTTCCGACATTTTAACTGCCTGCGCGGCTCCGCTCGCCTACGCAAGGCATCGAGTGCGGCAGGAAGGACAAAGAAGCCACATGACAGCAACAGTAGTGAAGATCCGCTGAGCCAATCAACATGACATCTCAACCCTCAAGAAACATGTACAACGATGGTTAGTATGATCCTACCAAAATTTTGCTCCTCATCCAGCTGCCCTTTCAAGGCAGATGGGGAAGACAAGTAAAGAAAAGAATCAGTTCAACTATATGGAGAATTATATGACCTGCCTATATGAACAGGAAAAAAAATGGTGCTTCCCCATCCTGACAATATCCTCCAGCAACGGTGCCTTTTTGTGCTCCAACTCTTCTTCCATGTAAACATGTTGAACTGCTGCAATCAGAAAACAGAAAGCAAGAGCACTGGTGGACTGAAAGTGCACCCGACGTGGTTCAGAAAAATCTTGAATTGTTAGCTTCAGTCATGGTCATTGTCCCAAGGGCTTCTGCTTGTAACCAGACTTCTGCCTTTCAAGTAACTTCACCTTGTTCTTGAGCTTTTTGTCTAGCTTTTTAATATATTTCTCCTCCCTTTCCCGGTCAGCAATGCCAGGCCAGAACACCTGACCAGTTAATGGCCACAGCCATTGATCATTTCCAGGATGCATGCCATCATCAGCTTCTTCTGCCAGATCCTCATCCATGCTCTTCAGAAGGGTGAAATCGAAGAACTTTACCCACATCCCATTTCTTTTATCGAGCAGATGCTGCTCTCTGGTATCCCCAGTGAAAGGGTTAAGGTAGACCATCTTCCTTCCACTGTGATAAGCCCAGACATTTACAAGGACTTCCAGGATTCGACAATAGCAGTGCCTTCTCTGAGGTAAAAGAAGAGTACCAAGTTTAGTTGACATTTGCACCAAAATATATCAACAATTGTCAAAACAAAAAGGAAAAGATATGGTCACCTCAGGTTCTGATGCCCCAAGGAAGCAAGAGGCTGGCTCAGTACTATTCACATTCAAGCTATGAAGTGAATCGACAAATATTCTGCAAAATACAACCCAAACCAACGTTATGAACACATAAGTGAATTGCCTCTTAGAAATAATAAGCAAAAAGTGAGAGATCAGAAGTACCTTGAGAACATGATGAATTTCAAAAATGATGGGGTGGGCATGACCCAGCTATGAAGAGTAGACCAATGATCGCCATCACTGGGCATTGGTGGAAGGGCCATGACATTCTCTGGCAATCCATACATAGTCCTAAATGCATCTTCAAAAAGAGATCTGTGACAAGAAAACACTGTTGAAGATAATGTTCCAAACAATTAAGATGGAATAGTGACCTCGTGCAGTGCACAATATGAGTTGCATAAAGTACAGCAAAGAGTGATTGAAAAGGTCCGGACCATGTGAGGTGACAGTGGTTGAGTTGTCCTAAAGCCTGTTTACTAGAAACATAGTTTTAAGGAAGAAAATAGAAAATAAAAAGGAACATGCTGGGGCATTCGAAAAGCACCTGCAATTGCCAGCATTTAGAGAATCACACGTCAACCAAAAGTCAGAAGTTTGGTCCATATCCATTGGTGACCAGTAGTATACAACATCCTCGTTACTTTCTCCAGACGTAATTTCCTCTAAAGTTTTTTCAGCACTTTCAGACAAGGATACCTGATAAGAGGATATTAAGATGACATATATTCATATCATTCTCAACAAAAACAACCTCATTATTTCAAGGCTCAGCAGATCCAATACATGGAGGAAAATGTAAACATGTTTTTAACATCTATAAGACAACAGTAGTTATCCCATTTTGTATTCTCACTATTGCATTATGTGCTAGCCTAACAAGTGGCTAACAGGTCAACGTAATTACAGATATATAAATCAATTTTTAGAATTGATAATTCAAACCGAGATAAACGGAAATACCAAATGTTTTGAGATTTGAGATGTTCTCAGTTTAGAGTGAAGCAATATGCTATAGCACAAAGTAATTTAGCTCTGGCCATTATTACCAAACACATGCAGCAAACAAGAATTACAGTTCAAAATCCGTTTCAAAAGATGTATATCCTAATCTAGTCTCATAAAAACAATTTTGAGCCTGAACATCCAAATTGTCCTTCACACATCAACCATTATATGGTGTAAATAACATCTTATTAGTTTTTAGGGTAGTTTTGCTATATGATCTGGTTTTGTAATATTGTGGCCAGATTTTAGCTGACAAGATTTGCTATATGATTCTGGAGTAACTTGGTTGCAGGACGAGTAGTTGATACGATCAGAAGAGCATAGCAGGACTCTAGATGGATTGTTTCAATCTAAACCTGACAAAGATCTAGGAACTGTCAAGAACGGAAATCTGGTTTTAATTGTGACACATCTCTCTATTCTCATCAAGTTCAAAGTCTCCAAAGCGAGGTTCATATTTGAAGAGTTGAAGTACTTTTTTGTGAAGACTTGAGGTATTTGCTGAAGTACGGGTTGTGAAGCAATACCCTCTTGTGGAGGAGATCATTTTCTACATCGACACTGTTCAAGAGTTGCATGCTTAGACGACATCTTCTATTTTGGATTTTGGATGTAATTCGTCTCTTTTATTTTTCAAGTCTAGCGCATAGTGCCAACTCTCCAAATGCAACGCCATTGCATTCACGTTGCATTTGAGAGGGGGTGTTAAGGTATAATAGTCAAGGGTATTAATGTAATCCCCTAGTCTAGGGTTTCCCTCCTGTGTCCCTCATGTACTCTATACATAATCCCCATTGGGCCTCAATATTATAATCTAGTCTAGTCTCTCATTATTCGCAACAATGTCAAGTAATGGCTTGGGAAGTCAGTGTGACGGGTTTCAAGAGGGTGATATGTACAATGTCCTTTTTCTCAAAGAGAAAAAAAAATATAAGAAAGCTGGTATGACCAATATGACCAAAAGTCCAAAACAGACAAAGTTCTATGAAAAAGGAAAAACTGGTACCTTTCTTCCAGCAGCCCGCCATGACTGGAAACCTATCCATGGTAACTTGTGTACATTATCAACTCTGTTTGCAATGGCAAACATAGCACCAAATTCACAAAGAAGATCTCGATAGTATGGGTTGTCTAGAACTGAAAGCCTGGTAACGGCATCAACATCATCTGATCTCGGTCGCCTTCCACCTTTTGACTTGAGATAATATGCAAAAGTAGGCATAAGCTTTGAATGAACATGTGCACCAATATACATTAGCTCAGAACTTAACTGCTGTGGAGGGTATTCCTATATATGTATTAATAAACAGAAAAATGCTACTAACTATCGATCATTCAGTGTACCAGTTCAAATAAAACTCAGGCTGGATCATGGTGACGGCGACAATCAAATATCCATAAGAGACACCAGTATATGTTCAACAATGCAGACAGACTGAACTGGGTCGATGCTTCCCCAGTACATAGTGTAAATATCTCAAATTTTATATATAGTGGTAGAGATGATGAAAACTAAGTAAAATAATATTATTGAGCACCTCATGGAAAGTGGGAAATTATATAAGCTTCTGGATAAGACATGCAGTGAAGTAAATTTACCAAGACTTACAAGTGTAACACCACGATACAAAGATCCATGGTGTAAAAATGGCCATGCCCCCTCTCCACTATAGATCTCATATATACACACAGGTTGCCCAGTCCTTTCTAGTTCACCTTCGTCACGTTCATTTCCTTCTGGCTTTAGCCTTTCTGATTTACGAGCGTTTTTGTACACTTCATCCCATGATAACAAAGGTCTTTCCACTCTTTCATCAATCTGCGTTGCAAAACAGCATACTTGATTTAGTTTGCCAATTTAGAAAAAAAAATAGTCTCATTGGACAAGATAGGAGAAACTTGCCTCCTCCATTTCTCTCCTCTCAATGTCTTCAAAGATTTCAATTTCACTTAAGTCATACCAATCGGACAAACGAGGGTAATCATATGAAGTATCATTGGTATCAGCATAAGTTGTTTGGTTACTTTGAGGGAATTCTCTAAGAATATCAACAGTCTTTGTGCTGGTATGGCTTTCATCTTCCAACAAACTATTTTCTAGTACAGCTTTCATCTCGAAAGGATCCCACAACCAAGTTCGTTCTTGAACTTCAGAAACAGAAGATGGCAATTTTGCATATGAAGGAAAATGAATAACACTTTCAAGAAGCTTAACATGAGCTTTAACACAATCATGTGCTAACATGTTCTTGGAAAGTAGCTTCCCTTCCAGAGCAACAGAATAGGCAGTATCCAAAAGCTTTTTTTCTCCTAAAATTTGTATGAAAGCTGAAGAAATCGTGCTTGGGTCGGCAGAATCGAAAAGGAAGCCATGGACACCATCACTGACCTGGAACAACACATTGTCAAAAGTAGTGGTAAAGATTTACAGGTGAATAGCATATTATGAATTCAATCGAGTGGCATACATATTTTGTTATAACAGTAAGATTTGGTGCAACAACTGGAATTTCAGAGGACATGGACCGCAATAACAAAGGAGGGAAGCCAGGCTCTTGTCTTAAAGATCCATAGAGAACAACATCCACAAACATTAACAGGTTCCTAATATCATGAGTCATGGAAATTTGCTTTATGGAGACATCAGGTAAACCCATGTGCGAGGTAAGTTCCTGTACAACAAAAAATTAGGATGATATTAGCATGTGACTTTGTAAACACAAGAACAATGAATTACTAAACAGACGCGCAAGCGCCCATTCTAAAATGTTTTTGAAGAACAGAACAAATAGAGAGAGGAAGGACAAGAAAGGTGTTTATCTAATATGTGTGTGTGTGTGTGTGTGTGTTTACTCTTTGGTACAAGCTTTCTGCATCGTTCGAAGAAAAAAAAAAGCATATGAGGTTAACGCAAAGTAAAGTACCCAAGTAATTAACTAGAGGATGGATAGTCATTAGAAATAAATAGGTTAGCCAGCTAAAAGCATGTCCAACTAAACATACAAGCTTGAAGGCTTAAGAAATTCAAGATCTTGCTTTAGTGAAGTTCACAAATGCACTGCACAGTTACTTTAAATGCCAAAGAATTGTGAAGTAGAAAAGCAAAAATAAGATCTGGCCAAGTTCTGCCAGTTACTTTTGACTTTAAAAGGATGCTTCCATGGGCATAATATGGTAACGATATTGGCTCAGCAAACCAGCTTAAGCAGATGACAAAAAAAACCATCACTGAGGTAGAAACGGTATTTCTTGGAAGTTTCAATAGCAAGGTATTTCTCCCAAAGGTCACTATCTAATTTGTGGAATATTCATTACCTGGAAAGCGGATTTGTAGGCATCAGAGCCATTTCCACAGAAAAAAATAAACTGCACCGTCAGATTTTTAGTTTTTGCTATATCCAAAATTTGTGGAGCTGATGCACGCATGACTGTGACATAATCCCATGGCAAATCATCAACGAACAAGTAGCTTCCAACGACCAAAATAACGACATCACCTTTTTCAATCCCATGCTGCTTTCTTATAGTTTCTTCAGAATGTGATGAACCAAATCTTTTAGCAGCCCAGATATCAACTGGAGAACCAGAAATCACCAAAAAGTTTCCAGAATCAAGAGACGAGTACAAGAACTGAAATCAGATAGCTAAAGGTCAGACAGAAATTCAATTTCAGCAATTATTCTACAGTATTGAGTTGAGGGTGGTACATACAGGAAGGTAGCTATCTGGAAAAACAACATAAGCGCATGCATTAAAATGAGTCCTCCAATCTTCAATGACATTTGGAATGGAATCACGTAACTCTGCATAATTTCTAAGATGTTGTCCAAGAGTTTCTTCATGTATAAGCCAAACCACTGGTAAAAGCCGGAAAGGTTCCTGCATAAGACTGAAAACAATATGAATGTGCTAAGTGCCAAACAAAGAAATGCTACAGAAAAAGGGAAATGAATTCCAAGAATCGAATATTACATGAACAAAATGACAAGTCATTTAATGGAATAAATAATTTCACAAAACAGCATGACCACATCAGCTGTTCTTTTTTTTGTCCAATAGGAATGCTAATAGCTAACCAAAATTTTCCATTAGCAAATTGTGTTTTATTACATGCCAACCCTGGAGCATAAGACATGTAGTAGCAGAATGCTCACATTGAAACAACCCTTTTCCCTTCGAGAGAGCTTAATAGCACAGCATTGTACCTACAAAGTTAGGAACGGAGAATAGAAGTGTAATAGATAAATAAGACATAATAATAGCAGTGAAAATATTCCAATCTTAAAGTATTAGCAACTCACTTTGACCAGTCGACAGATTTCAAAGTCCCAACGTTCACAATACTTACAGGGCAAATATTTTCCCAAATATCACGAGCTTTCCCATCTGTAAACGCTAAAACCTAATCCATAGCAACACCATGAGTGGCATGGGGTATGAAGTATTCTCGACATCAAAAAATCAAGAATGACCACCAAAGGGCGGCTACATGTTCCAAACAAGTTTCACAAACCCAAGGGTACAATGTCACAACCCAGTGGCATACCCACCAAACTAGAAGACATTTTGCAATCTGTAGAAAATATTGTTGCATGGAAACTCACCTCAACTTCGTAGCCCAGACTCACAAGACTTTTCGCAACAGTTGCAAGCATCAGAGATTGTGCATCTATGTTCATATTTCCAACAGCCTGAAACAACCGGAGCCAAAGTCAACTCTCCATGACATGCAGTTTAGCATTAAAAAAGAATATGTGTTAGACCTAACTAATAAAGAAACAGAAAAGCACGCAAACAATACAATACATGACATGCGTATATCTAGGTAAGCATGTCTGTTCCTCCATCTAATACTAAACTCTGACCAGTACACCGCATTTCATTAGTAAATCCAAGGAAAGCTCTACCAGACCATTTAAAAACTAGGCATCTTTCAATGGTACCGAAATTCACAACCACTGCAGCGAAATGGCAGGTGGCGAGTGATTCTATCAGGGTTTGGGAAAATGCGCAGGTTAAGTAGTGGTGCACTCACGAGCGCTACCCTGACGGGCGCGAGGCTGGCCCACCGCCGCCGCTCGGATCTCGCGGCCTCGAGTCGGCTCTCGCCGTCGAACGCGCGCAGCACTAGGCTGGAGGACGAGAACCGCATCGCCCCGGCTTCGCCTCCCTCGAGGAGCGGCGGCGCCTCCCCGTCCTCCCCCTCCGCTGCGTCGCCGTCGCCGTCGCCGATGGGGAGCAGCTGCCAGACCACTAGCAGGGAGGCGGTGAAGAGCGCCACGAGGAGCGCGAAGAAGAGGTGGCTCGGGCGGCACGGCAGCCCTGGGCGCCGCCGTCTCCGCGCCGAGGCCGCGCCCGCGGCGGCGGCGGCGGTGGAGGAGGAGGACGCGCCCGGGCCCGCGGTGGGGAGATGGTGCGCGGCGTCGGCGTGCGCCCCGCGCCGCCACATTGGAATGCAACCCCGCGGCGGCGGCGATCGGAGCGGAGCGGCGAAGGGTGAATTGGTCGGGTCTGGCCAGTGAGGGTGAGGAGCTGCTCGTTGTTGCTGAGTAGCTGCTGTTACATGGGAGTGGGACGCGTCCCGATGCGAGCCGCGGGCGCGGTGCAGTCGAGTCTGTCAGGTGGCGCGGGCGAGGAGGGGAGAAGTGAGGAGGCGGGTCGAGATCGGGCAAAGCAAGGCAACCGCCGCGGCGCCGAAGGAGATGCCAGATGGATGAATCAGTGGACCTCTGTTACGAGCGAGCCCGAGCTAGAATACCGGAGCTCAAACGATATTTCCCCGTAGCGTATAGGATGTCATGTCGGACATAGGGACATGGATACGTACGCCACGACGTATCTTTCTTTGGTGTTGTTTAGTTTGCCAAACTTCTAACTTTGGCACTCAAAAAAGAAGATTCTCCGTCACATCAAATTTGCGGTATATGTATGAAGTATTAAATGTAGATGAAATCAAAAACTAATTGCACAGTTTGGTTGAATTTTACTAGACGAATCTTTTGATCATAATTAATCAATGTTGGGACAATAATTCACAAATACAAACGGAATTACTACAGTGTTTGCCGTCACATCAAATACTGTGTAAATGCCGATTCCGGCCGGAACTAAACAAGGCCTTTGTTCTATTCTACGAAGACAGACGACGCCATGGCTATGGAGCTACGGACCTATGGTGTCTTTGGGCACGAGACGGAAACGGGCAGCGGGGAGATGTCAAACCTGGCTACGCAGCGAAACGAAACGCTAATGCGACACCGCGGGGCGTCCCACTCCGCCTCTGCTCCCCGAAATTTTTTTTGTGTTTATTAGCCTTTTTAAAAAAACACAAATATGCTTCTAGAGGTATGTTTTTAAAATCTAGACCCTTAGATCGGTGTCATCGTTGATGGCGCCGAGCTTACACGTCTCGACGCCATAAATTTTGGCGCCTAGGTCTTGGGCTCAGCGTAGACGTGGCGGTGACTTTGGCAGTCAGCTTGGCGCCAAAGATCTTGGCGTCGTAGATCTCGGCACCAAGGTTATTGGCGCCTAGCCTGGCGCCGTGGTTATTGACGCCGAGAACGACGCCAAGATCTATAGCATCGAGGTGGTGTTTTAACCCGGCCTCCAATCTTCCTGTCCGAGCCTTCTTCCTCTTCTTTCTTCTCTCTCTCGGGTTTTTCTTTTCCCACTTCATCCTACCTCACGAATCGGCATATTGGACCTTGGCAACTTTGATTTGATCCGTAGATCTTCGAGAGCAAGGTATCCTCACTCCCTCCTAGTTTTTTTTCACATCGATTCGATATATATTAGTCGGATTTTTCAACTTAAGAATCGTCATTACTTAGGGTTTTATGTAATTTTAATATTTATATTATACAACCATAGGATGCCAAGACGTGGAAAAGCTAGCAAACCAAGGTAACCTCAGCGCACGTTGTTATGTTATGGGTTCATTGTTGTGGATCAAATAAGAAACCCTAGGTGTAGGGTTTAATGTTAATTGCTTTCGGTTCTTAGAACGAAAATGGCTAAATTGTAGTTATGGCCGGATGACCAGAAATGGCTTTGACCCATTGCCTCTGTCCAGTGGTGTTCCGATGCACATGTGCTTTTACGGCGATCCTTGCAAGGTAGCCAGTCCGATAAAGAGGACACGTATAGACAGAGGTATTGGATGTGTTCCAATTTTATGTTTGAGCCTATACTTCATCAGCGTCGCATTAACAAGATGGTGACAAATTATTGTTTGTGTCATATGACATCTTGCATGTTTTTTTGTAACAATTGCATTTTTTGCAGACCCTTCCACCACTCTGTTATTTTGAGCAGTGGATCGACACTGAGATCAAGCCTGAAGACAAGGAATAGATGCAGAAATTGTTGCGGTGAGAGGCAGAGGATAAGGAGATGATGGAGAAGAGACGTGGAGAGGAGGCTGCAAAAAAAGAGCACAAGAAAAAGGAGGAAAGGAGGCGTGTTGCTACGTACAGGGAGGAGAGGAAGAAGAAGCTTGAGCGTGCAGGCCGAGCGAAAGCAGCGATGGAGGAGAATCCCGATGCCCTGAGAAAGGAAAAGTGGCCTCGTTGCACTTATAAGGAAAATGGACCCTTGGCCCATTTACTTTGGATTTTGATGTTTTATGACCAACACAACCAAATTGGACTAATAAATTTGAAAGTGATTGTTTTGTAGTTCAATAGAATGCAATACGTGACTTGAACGAAGGCAATGTGATGATCCGATGATCAACACCTTAAGCAAGACCCTAGGAGCACAAGAAAAGACCCAAGAAATCAAGCAAAATCCAAGCACGAAGATAGGAACCAAGCCGGACGCAAGATCACGAAGAAACGAGCTCACAGAGGTGACCGGACGCTGGTAGCACAGTGACCGGACACTCCGATCAGAGGCTCAGCAGCTGTAGCGACCGGACGCTGAAGAAGCAAATCGACCGGACGCAGGACAACAGAGTTCGGTCGAGTACAGAGAGGTTCTAGAGCGGCAAATGTGCGATCGGACGCGTCCGGTGGCATGTGACCGCACGCTAGCAGCGTCTAGTCAGGGCGATTTCAGCGTTCGGTGAGTAGCAGAAAAGCAGGATTTCGTCCCCAGCGGCTACTTTCTCAGTGGGGCTTAGAAATAGACCCCTGTAAGGGTCGAGATGGCGGACTAGAGGGGGGGTGAATAGTCTTTTCTAAAATTAATCGCGTCGGCTAACCGATATAAATGCGGAATTAAAACAATCGGTCTAGCCAAGACTACACCCCTCTATATATGTTCACTAGCACCTTACAAAGATACTAATAAAGCAACTAAGGTGCCGGGCTAGCTAGAGCTCTCCTAAACAATTTTAGGAGCAAGGTCACACAAACCTATGCCACTAGTACTTTAAGTAACAAGGGAGCTCCTACACATGCTAGTAAGCAAAAGCACAAAGCTAACTAAGCTCACTAGCAATGCTCAATAACAAGGCAACCAACGCCTAATTAGAGAGCGTAAATACTTAGCTACACAAACTAAGCAATGTGACTAACAAGGTTACTAAAACCAAATTAGTCACGCAAGGGAGCTACTTCTATGCTACACAAGCAAGAAGGTAATTAGCTAGCTACACAAGCTATCTAATTACAAGAGCAACTAAACAAGCTTAAGATATATATATAAGTAATTGCAAGCTTGTGTAATGGGGATGCAAACCAACGGGAAGAACAAGGTTGACACGATGATTTTTCTCCCGAGGTTCACGTGTTTGCCAACACGCTAGTCCCCGTTGTGTCGACCGCTCACTTGGTGGTTCGACGGCTAATTAGCATCACCCGCTAAGCCCGCACGTCGGGCACCGCAAGAACCTACCCCTTGAGTGAGGGTAGCTCAATGACACGCTTTACTAAAGTTGCTCTTTGCGACTCCCGCGGGGCGAGCACAAGTACCCCTCACAAGCACTTCTCTGGAGCGTCGCACAAGCTTCTTGCGCGCTTCGACGGAGACCACCACCAAGCCGTCTAGGAGGTGGCAACCTCCAAGAGTAACAAGCACCACCGGCTCGCAACTCGATCACCTAGTGCCACTCGATGCAACCTCACGATGCAATCACACTAGAATCGCTCACTCACACAATCGGATGATCGCTATCAAGTATGTGTGTGATGGAGGGCTCCCAAGCACTCATAAGCATGGACACTAAGTCCCTTGAGGTGCTCAGCACCAGCCATGGCCGAGGGCCACTTCTATTTATAGCCCCAAGGGCTAAACTAGCCGTTACCCCTTCACTGGGCAACGTTCGGGCCGATCGGACGCTCTGGTCGTGTTGACCGGACGCTGGACCTCAGCGTCCGGTCACCCACAGATGGTCACATGTCCTGATTCCAATGGTCACTTGACTTGACCGGACGCAGCAGCTTCAACTGACCGGACGCTGAACCCCCAGCGTTCGGTCATTTCCAGTAAGGTACCGACCTCGACCGGACACGTCCGATCACACTTGATCGGACGCAGCCAGCGTCCGGTCACATTCTAGCTTCTACGTCATCGTACGTCAGCCTGACCGAACGCAGCCTGCCAGCATCCGGTGCATTCAGATCCAGTGTCCGATCAGTTGACCGACGCCAGCATCTTCGTGACTAACTCATTTTCACTTCTAACTTCATCACCCTTGCTCCAATGTGCTAACCACAAGAACTTGCATCCAGCGCAATAGAAAATAGGCATTCTATTTTCCTAAAGCGTCGAATCTCGCCTCGCAAGCTCGGCGGGAGGGAGAGAGGGACCCAAACCCATCTCACCCCTGCAAACACCACCTCCTTTGTAAATGTGCCAACACCACCAAGTGTACACCACCATGTGTATGTGTGTTAGCATTTTCACAATCATTTCCCAAAGGATGTTAGCCACTCAACTTGCCACGCCACTCGATCCTAGCGACAATGCAAAGTTAGATCACTCGAGTGGCACTAGATGACCGATATGCAAACAAGTTTGCCCCTCTTGATAGTACGGCCATCTATCCTAAACCCGGTCATAAACTTCTCTACACACCTATGACCGGTGAAATAAAATGCCCTAGGTTATACCTTTGCCTTGCGCATTCCATTCCATCTCCTTCAATGTCGATGCAACACATGCACCAACACGATCAACAATGATATGATCCACTTCATATCATCACGTGATCATATTGGTTCATCGATCTTGACTTCACTTGCCCTTCATCGTTGCCATCGTCCATCGGCGCCAAGTCTTGCTCAAGCTTCACCGCCACGCGGTCCATCACTCCAAAGCCTTTGACTTGCCCTTCACGCTTGCAACCGGTCCATCAAGCCAAGTCTTGTCTTGATCTTCTCCACCTTGATCACATGACTCAATGTCATGTCTCATGTGCAATAAGCTCCTTCATCATCACATGTGTGAGCTTTGCAACATCTCCAAGCCATTTTTACCTCCATGGCATATGTTGCTCATACA